CATTTGTCTTCTTTCTGTTTTGATGAAATAAATACAGGGAATTCAATGCTTCATATTTTGTTTAATCTGTAGTAAGCATCCAATGACGTACCTGACAAAATAACGTACCATGAATGTTTTTACGGGGCTTTATATTTAGGAAATATTCTTATAGATTGGGTTTCTTGCCAATTTGATAAAAATAACTATGTACTGGGCTATCAGCATCAAAGCTGTTGGCAAGAACAAGATGAAAATCTGCTGAAACAGAGTGCTCGAGAACACTATCCATTTGGAGATGTTCATGTTCTTATGTCAATCTTACTCGGAGAAACTGTTCCCTCTTAAATATACGATCATTCCAAGACTTACCGAACGATGCGAACATCAGGGGTACATCTTTTTTCCAAAGAGGATTAGACCAGACCAATCCGACTTGCAGGAACAGCACCAAACAAAAGGCGGACAAAGAAGTGAACTGCATCGTGAATTGTGATGATCGCCGACCAGTGATGCGCTTGTCGCGCACACATTGATATATAACGATGCCCGGACGGCTGAATGTATCAGATTGGTTCAATTCGTTTGACCAATGATAACTGTGTCCAAACAATGTTCTGGGGGGGGGGTGAGGCTGGGAGCAAGAAGTGTTCCATAGACCAACAACCAAAAAATGAATATATTTTTCAGGTGTTGATCGAATTCGTGCAACATGATTCTCAATACGAAAATATTTTGCAGCTTCCAATAACTTACCCACATCTTGAAAGCCATGGATTTAAATCATGTATATCGAACCACATTTCCACCGCATCGTTCTCAGTTCTCTTGTATCGCTATTTCAATTGATACAACCTTGGTTTTCGTGATAAAATTTGTATTAGGTTGAAAGTTACTGGTCGAAATTATAAACCATTTGGTGCAGAGTAGCATGGAGGTTCATTATTTTAAATGCATGTATACCGTTCTATGAGGATGTTCAGTCTGTTCAATCTAAGTATTCTAAATACCACACCTTTTTCACACAATACAAGGTAAATATAACGTTATACTAAAAATCAATCTCCAATGTAGTCCGGGCAGATTTGCCAGAATTTTTGTCTGCCACCTTTAGGAAAATGATCGAGGAATTCAATCTACAGCTGAGATCAGCAGAAAGTGAAGCCGCTACTGAACGCCAAACAATGAAAAACACGTATAGATTTTGCTGAAAAATTCAAACCGCATCACCTGTCCTTTTGACGTTCAGTTTTGTTCACTTATGATTGTCTGGTGGTTGACAAGTAAGACATCAGGTAGAAGTAAGTCATCTGTGGACCCAATTGTCCTAAAAAATCCATTCCTCCGGTTAAGAAAAATAAGTATCTTTCTCGTCTTACTATCTATTCGTGGAGTTAAAACAGAGTGCCCTGACGTCGGGTTCCGCTACCCGGCACCCTGTACGGTGAGAACTTTGTTGCACTGATAAAGGACGTTTTCAGTTACTAACAATCTCGTGATGTCTTTGATAAAGCCACACTCTTTCAGGATAATGTCATGCCTCATTGGAGTTAGATCATAAAATCACTTATACCTTATCATACATAGTTTTTTCATATTAAGGCAG